GAGACAAGGAGAGACAGAGACAGACATAAAGAGAGAGAGAGAGAGAGAGAGAGAGAGAGAGAGAGAGAGAGAGAATTTAAAAATCAAAGATAAATTTGTGTCTCAATGACCTCAACTCGGATGAGTATGAGATATGAAAATCAAAATATGTGTAGGTTGCCATAACGGTTACTAGGCCAAGGCGAAGGTTAGTTAGATTTCATCAGAGGTACGTCTCTCTCTCTCTCTCTCTCTCTCTCTCTCTCTCTCTGTACATCCGTTACATATTTTCATTTATCTATCCCGCATGCTTTCAGTTACATTTCAGCCTTGTAGTTGTTATTACATTCAATGATTACAATCTTTATAGGCTTATGTGGAGAACAGAATGACTGCAAATGCTTTTTCAAATTGTGAAAACAGGAATGCGAAGTTCAAATTTTACACACACATTCTCTTTTTCTCTCTCTCTCTCTGATATATTGGTGATAAACTTCCTTCAGGATTGATTTTAATTTATTAGTAGTAAACGAAAATTAGTCAAATGAGCACATTCCGGTAACTTTGATTTGATTCGTATTTCCTTTTGTTTTCTTTTTTTTTCACAATTAAAGGTAATTTTGAAACTAAAAATATCGCTGATCATATCACTTTGGGCCTTCATGTATAAAACTCATGCATTGCCCTTTCCAAGAGTAAACACAAGCATTATGAATTTTGGCCTATGCACGAGGAACTGTGACAGTTTCTGATCTATAGCACATTCGATATTAAACGAACGCGCTACCAAAGCGTCATGGTCGAGTTCATGACGGAGTCGGACAACATTGCATCACCCTCAACAAGATTGTGACGGTTATTATTGTGACGTTCTTTGCCATGGTATGCTTAATGAAGTATGATAGATCGCTCTAGAGAAATGACCCTGCTGACATTATACAACAGAGCAATGATAATAGTAGTGCATAAAGATACATTCATACATTATAACAGGCAGGTAGGCCCTTATATACATGTAGGCTTACGGGGCCGGGGGGGGGGGGCCTTGCGAGGGGCTGACGCTTTTGCTCGTATTGCCCTGTCAACTAAATTATTGTGTGTGATCGAGTAAACTTTGACACTAAAAGTGAGAATGTAAAGTCGTTATTATTACAACGATGTTTATATTTAATTGTTAAGACAAATAAAACATCTCACCCCCTGCCTGAAAGTAAGAACAGTGGCAATTTCAAAAAAATATTGGGGCTGCAGCCACGCCACCCCCCCCCCCCCATTTTCTCCGCCCCAAACCCCTATGGGTTCATTCTAAACACCATTTATGAAATATAATATTGTCCCTTGTAATTTAGATATCAAGACCAATACAAGTGTGCACGAAATCCATGGGAGTCTGTTCTTTCCAATTTTTCAACGAAACACAATATTTGTAATGCTTGAATACAAACAGGATTGTGCTATGCCCCCCAACCCCCCCCCCCCCCCTCCCTTCTCGTCTCATATACCAGTGCATTTATTGTATTGGACACATCATTATACCCTTGGCTATTGGATTCAAGCCTAAACAAGTGTGCACTTTTCCATTCCTTCGGGGAGCACATTATTTCCATATTTTGAGACGGACAAAAAAAAAGGAAAAAAAAAGTAAGTTTCAGTTTTATTTTATTGTTTCACATTTCACATACTAATTACCATTTTGCAATAACTTTATAAAGTAATTGGTACAAAATAAACGTGCATGCTATGAACAAAGACAAATTTAAAGCAAAAAGGGAGTACATCATAACAATTTGTTCGAATGCATTAAGTTAAAAGACTGAATTTGAAAGAAGAGTGAAGTGTGTGGGGGGGGGCCTATATGAGGGGCAAAAATTTTAATGCAAAACTACAAGAGGCATTATCTATAGGAAACATAGGCCGACCCTTTCATGTTCAGTGATTCTGAATATTAGTATGTTGACCAAGGTACATGCATCATAATAGTGCTGGCAAACCAGTAATGTTTTGAACAGACTTTGGAGGAAAAACAAATAGGCTTATGGGTGCGGAAAATAATTGCTTCCACCTAAATTCTCCAGGCAACTGTACGTGTATACGTGGTATCCGCCACATTATTTCAAAGAGCGGTGTAGCCACGGGTTCACCCCATCGAATTCAACAGACAAACTGAAGGGGAATCAAGGGAAGAAAGCTATCGAGTCGTTTCCTATATTCTTGGTTTTTGTATGCACTTTTCTTTTTCTGTTTTCTTTTTGCATGCATTGTTTTTATACTGTGATTTGGAAACTAAATACCATACCAAACCTGCCAAAGAGAAAGATAGAGGAAGAGACAGGAAGATGAAGAGAGACGGAGAGGACTTGGTTGCTTATTTACAAGCATACACATGTTTTCTTAGCAGTCAGGTAAAACAAACAAACAAACAAATATGAAGACAAGAAATGACGTCAATCATCATTTCTGAAAGATATTTCTCACTAGCCACTTTTAAAATAATGTGTGGTAACTTTGACTGACTTTGCCC